ATTCCTTCTTGTAACAAAAAGAGACAAGTGTTCTTCTCTGTAAGAACTGTTTATTCAATGTTTAGGTGAAGGTATTTCTTTTTCATGTTCTGTCCTGTCATTTTTGGTCCATCTGCTGCTTTTAAAGCTAAGCGCTTGCTGTTCTCTTCATTTCACTTTATAACTGTTGTTCCACATGACAGGTTCACGCACAATATTTTCCCAAACCTTTGCAGTAAAACTTAAATTTGGGGACCTAAATGTAGGAACCTGGCTTTCGTCAGCCATGTTGCAATGGAGGACACTAGCCTGGGGAAGACTACTTTGATGTATAATGCTTTTAGGAACAGTAGTAGCATAACCTAGATGCAGATACACGCTGAAGAGTATACAGTTTCCACCTGTAGATGTAATGTCTTAACTGGTTTTTAATTGAAAGTCCCAATGGTTTGTTTCTTTATGCTGCATCGTACTTCCCTCCCAGTCAGACGTGGGTAAGGACTGACTAGAGCAGGACCATAAGAAGTGCAGGACAGGAGTCCCCCTACAGCCCACTAGCATTTGGCAGGGACCAAATTTTCAGACTTTGGAAGGGACTGGGGAATTATATAAATTTAATACATTATTATTATTCCTTTGTAGCAGCTAAAGAACTCTCACAATTTTCCCCACAAAAATGTCATTGCCTGTCTTTGATGCCAGTCGAATTTACATCCTTCTAAACTAGACCATCACAGTAATAGGTGTGAATGAAAAAATGGGAGAATGGCCAGATTCCTTTATAGCCGCCACAGCATCTGATAGTTTCTTGCTCTATATATACTATGCTAGAAGATGCCAACAGAGCCCTCATGACAATCCCTACTACCATCATAATTCAAACCAATGAACTGGTATATGCTATAGCCGCTGTAATTTATTTATTTATTGTATTTATATAGCCGCCTATCTCATACAGAGTGACTGGAGATGCTGGGGTACACAATCAAGAAGAACAGCAGTTCATAAGCCCCACCCCCCGGAAAATGAGGTTGGGGGCTAAGATCAAGGTAACTTGGAGAGAAGTTAGCTGGCAGAACTACAGAAGCACATGAAGATTAAGGATAAGACTCGGCTACTGAAAAAATACAAGGGCCTGACTT